CATTTTTTCAAAAAATATCTTCAATAATTCTAAAATTAATCCTTTTTACATTTTTTGACAATACAATTATATCAATTATTTTCGTTGGTTTAACACATTGAAAGTCTTATCTCAATCTATGAATTTCATTTTAAACATATTAATGATTCTCGACAAATTCTATGGTGGACTTAAGGTCTACCGTGGACCTACTAAGCATTTGTTTTTATAAATAAAAAAATTAAAACAAAATATTTTTTAGGTGAGAAGGTCCACAAAAATGATATACACTCAAGGCGCACCAAAGAAACACTCATGATTCTCTCTCTATTGAACATTATGATTAAGTGTCGACTTTGGATATTGTAATTTTCTTAGTTAAAAAAATGCCTAGAATCAAAATTTTAATTATTTTTAAAATTATCAAATGTTAGGCGTTAGATTAGACAATAAAAAAAGATGAGAGCAAACTCAAATGACAATAATAGTTAGGATGGAGAAGTATTGAGGTAGAAGACAAAATAAGTAATTTTGATACTTTTTTTATATTTTACTTCTATAATAGTCTTTCTCATTATTTAACCTTTTCAATTTGTTCTAACTTAAACGTATTATTATTATTATTCAATGGAATAATTAATTTACATAAAAAAAATAAATTAAACATATATTATCAATAATAGAAAGAACTATGGTGCTTTTTTACATTGCACTCATTATAATTAATCAAAATACATTAGAAAAAAGTTTAAAAATTACTCATAATTAATTTCTTATTTTTCTACTTCGTAATTATATTTTAGTCGCCTTATAAAGTATATATTAGGCATACTAATTAGAATTGGATCTTTCTATATTTTAATATAAAAGTGCCAAGTCAATAAAGTCATCAAAGGTGGAGGATGACTCATAAAAAACTTGCCAAGTATACCCGCCACATGTCGACATTCTGTGAGCCCGAGTCTCAAATATTATAATAAAGGATTTTTATTATTAATTACTTAATAAAATAAAATTTAGTTATTACATATTTTATAGAATTTTTGAAAAGATAATTTGTTCTTTTTATTTTTATAATAATTGATAACTAAAATAATTTTAAAAGTGATAAAATTTATATATTGTTCGAATTGTAATGATTATTTTAGAACGGATAGAGCTAGCATTTTTAAAAATACAAATGATGAGAGCGAACTTAGAAGCATGATAAAACTAAAGTCTATGACATTGTTTATAATATTAATTAATAGAAAAATTTACTCTATATAAGACTAAAAGAATAAATTTCTCCGAATAAGACAAAAGTCATTTAATATGATCTAATGTAATTTTTTGAAGTTCTGATTTGATCTGATATGAATTTGATTAAAATTAAAACTAAATTTTTATAATAATAATAATATTAATAATAATTGAAATATTAATAATAATAATAGTAATTATAATAATAAGAATAGTAATAATAATAATAACTATAATAGTAATAATAATAATAGAAATAATAAAAAATAAAAATTCATAATAATAGTAATAATAAAAGTAATAATAATATTAACTATAATAATAATATTAAAAGTAATAGTAATAATAATAGAAATAATAATAATAATAATAATAATAATAATAATAATAATAATAATTCTAATAATAATAAAAATAGTACTCCGTAATATTAAAAATATTACTAATAACAATGATGATGATGATAGTAATAATAGTAATAATAATAATAATTGTAGTAGTAATAATAACAATAATAGTAATAATTAGAATAACAATATTATTAATAATTACAGTCATAATAGTAATGATAATAATAACAATAATAGCAATAATAATAATAATAGGAATAATAATAATAATAGGAAAAATATAATAATGGAAATAATAATAATGATAATAACATATATAATAGTAATAAAAGTAAAAATAATAATAGTAATAGTAATAAGGAAATAGTAATAATAAATGTAATAAAAATAATAGAAATAATAATAATAATAGTAACAATAATAATATTATTAATATTAATAATAATAATAGTAATAATAATAATAACATTGATAAAAAATAATTATAATCATAATATTGATAGCAATACTAATAGTAATTATAATACTAATAATAATAATGATACTAATAATAATATAATAATAATAAAAATAGTAATATTAATTTTGTTTAGATCTGATTTGATCTAGTCTGGTCTGATCTGATATGATTGGATCCGATCTGATATGGTCTAATCAGATTTGATTTTAATAAAAATAAGTAATAAGAAGATCGAAAAAATAAGTTGAACGGAACCCTGCCTTATTCTTATTACTCATTACTTTTTCTTATTGAATCAGATTATATCTAATCTGATCAGAAACAATTTTAAATACAGAGTATAACTATATGGAGATTAGATCAGAACTTATTCTAATCAATTTAAAAGCATTCAGGTTAAGTGAAGAGAACATGGGCCAAATATGTTTTGTTTCTTTCACATATTTTCATATGATTTGTCATATATATATTCTCTCATTAACAATAAATGTTGGATAATGACTTACTATACGAATGACTCTACGAATATGGTCAATAGATACAAGTATTGTTTAATAATGATTATTCAATGTGTTCTTTTATTAAGAGAGGACATTTTTAATATTCGTTTACAATCATTTTGGATGATCACATTTTCAAAAGTAGAACATTTTAGAATTCTTCATTGGCAAGGTTAGAATAAATAAGCTAAGACCGTTTATATTTGAAAAAAATGAGATATATTTAAGTCTTATTTGTAGAAATTATACATATTAATAAGAGGAATTTAACTAAATAGCACTAAAACATAATGACTTTCCCTAAATAGCACTACATATGTTTTTTCTTAATGTAGCACTTTTAGTCATTATCCATTAGTCATTATTCAAGTAAATGTTTGTCATCACTGGTCATTATGGACATTATAATGTGCTATTTAGGGAAGAAAACAATCTAAGTGCTATTTAGAAAAATGACTTAAGTTTTAGTGCTACTTAATGCAAATATTTCTATTAATAAGCACCCCGATAGATCAAATAACACTTTCTCCCTTCACATAATATCTGTAAATTCGACTTTTTTTGTCAAATTATACAATATTTTGACTTCAAATTAAATATGATTTTGAACTCAATTTTGTTAAATTTACATTATAACTAAATATATTTTTTTAGAATTTGTGATAAAATTATAACGCAATTAATTTGACAAAAAAGTCAAATTATGAAGATGTGGGAGAAGTAATTTAAGATCCCACTTGAAATATAATCAAATATCGGATCGATGTAGAGAAATTTACCTAAATAGTATTAAAACATAATGACTTTCCTTAAATAGCACTACATATGTTTTTTTTTCAATGTAGCACTTTTACTCATTATCCATTAATCATTATTCAAATAAATGTTTGTCATCACTGGTCATTATGGATATTATAAAGTGTTATATAAGGAAAAAAACAATCTAAGTGCTATTTAAAGAAATGACTTAAGTTTTAGTGCTATTTAGTGTAAATATTTCATTGATGTATAGCTAGCTAGCTAGCTAATGCCGCCTGTGCATAAGGTGGCGCGTCACCTCTTGAAGAACTCCGGCATTGGCCGTGGACGACGACGAAGAGGATGCCATGTATTCGGCCGGATCTCCGGCGGCAGCGCCTCCCAAGTTTTGGCGCGGCTGTTGTGCGGTCGGGTCAAAGAGAGAAGAGAGATCGCAGATGCATGCAGAAGCAGTGGGGAGCTGGTCGGGAATAGTGTATGCCGCCGACGCTGATTGAGGCGGCGCCGGCGGTGGTGTCGAGACCTGGAGAGCTTCCAAGTGGGCTTGTAGGTAGGAGAGCTCCGCTTGTAGGTTTGCTACCTGCATTAATTAATTGCTCGTGTAATTTTAAATAGAGTGTAGGATTAAAAGTTGGAAGAAAGACCAAAATATAACTAAAATATTGAAAATATACTAAAATAAGACTTTCACGTTTTTATTCTTGAAATAGGATTTAAAATGTATTTATATTACCAAACATAGTAATGTACATTACCTAAAAGTATAGTAATGTGCACATGTACAATGTTATATTACAACCACATTATCACAAGGACCATGCTACACTTACACCAAAAAACATACCCCATTTGTACACCACAGTTATACACAAACATTTTGATGGTTTGCACCGACACAAGTGTTGGTGCGTTAACAAAAATTTACACAGACACAAAGTGTTGGTGCGCTAACAAAAATTAGTTTTACACCAACACTAAATGTTGGTGCAAACCTGCGGGGTACAAATTAGGGTATAAATATTGGGGTACACTTAGCTTAATCCTTATCACAATGTCAAGTTCTATTCTGGGTAAAAAACATGAAAATTTTATTTTGATACTTTTCTTTATGTTTTAATCTTATTTAAGGTGATTTCTATTAAGAGTTGGTATTGCGAAATTCAACCCATTTATGATATGATAAATGTCTAATAATGTTATCTTTAAGTTGGTCTATATATTGCATTTCTATCTTTTTACACTTTAAAGATTAATTTGTTTATTTTTAATAAAAGTGTAGATTTAGGCAAAGAAGGTGGATTTAACAACACCCAAACTTTAAATATATATTAAAATAAGATCTTCTATTATTTTTACCCCTCAAATGAAATTATCATCATTATGTTTGGTTAAAGAAATTTGGAAGAAAAAGTATTGGAATGTGTTTTTACATATCTCATCTTAATTTGTTTCCTTGTAGAAGTAGGACTCCATATATGTTTCCTAATATGTTTTGGAAACTATTGTTGTATATATACACATGTAGATTGTATCCACAAACAAGTCATTCAATTCTAAAATTCTACATGGTATCGGAGCGACTCTTGGGACAACCCTAAGACTACCGCACCCATACACGTCCATCCGGCCGCCGCTCGTTCCAATCGCCGCCGTTCGTCCGCCGCTGACATCTCAGCAGCCACCCATCACCAACACCATGACAACCGAAACAACCAAGAAGACATGGTTAATTCATGATCCATCCACGATTTATTATCTTCATCCGTCAGAACACGCTGGAAACGCCTTGACCAAATACCTACTCAAAAGTGATAATTATGAGGTTTGGGAAAAAGCCATACGTAATGCTCTAGGAGGACGGGGCAAGGCTATTTTCTTGATACCTGATGGCGTTCCCAAACCCAAAGATGAACGAGAACTCGCCGCTTGGGAATCTAACAACTCTATCATATGTAGCTGGATTTTCAACAGTGTGGATGAGTCTATTCAACCGAGCATCGTCTCTCACTCCGTTGCGTCCGTTTTGTGGTCAGATCTGAAAAAGAGGTACAATACCTCGAATGGCCCTCGTATTTACCAATTAAAAACAGAATTGAACGCGCTACGGCAAAAAGGGCAAACCGTGGTTGCATATTACAATCAATTCATTACTCTATGGAATCAGCTGCATGAAACCGG